TTTTTCCTGCCTTCCTGGAAAAATTATGCCTTTTCTTTTTTATTGGTACCTCAATCTGAGGAATAGCTGCACTTAATTTGAGAGGGAAATGTTGAGAGCTTTTGTTGGACTATTTACTGTGAACTCTTTGAGATGACTGGTGTTAATTTCATGCAGCATCAAGGGTTCATGAACAAAAATACACTTCTCCAGGCAAATAATGTATTTCTTCCCCTCTTAAAACACTTCGTAAAATGTTCCCTGCTCAACTTATAAAAACCTTAGAATAGCAACTTCAACTTGATAGGAAGCATCAAACTCTTACATGTGATGGAAGGAAGGCAGGAAGGCAGGAAGGCAGGAAGGCAGGCAGGCAGGCAGGCAGGAAGGCAGGCAGGAAGGAAGGAAGGAAGGAAGGCAGGAAGGAAGGCAGGCAGGAAGGCAGGCACGCAGGAAGGCAGGAAGGCAGGAAGGCAGGAAGGAAGGCAGGAAGGCAGGAAGGCAGGAAGGAAGGCAGGAAGGAAGGCAGGAAGGCAGGCAGGAAGGAAGGAAGGAAGGCAGGAAGGCAGGAAGGAAGGAAGGCAGGAAGACAGGAAGGCAGGAAGGAAGGCAGGAAGGCAGGAAGGAAGTCAGGAAGGCAGGAAGGCAGGCAGGCAGGAAGGCAGGCAGGCAGGAAGGAAGGAAGGAAGGAAGGAAGGAAGGAAGGAAGGAAGGAAGGAAGGAAGGAAGGAAGGAAGGAAGGAAGGAATATGCACTTCTAGAGAAATCTGACCTTATTACTGGATAAATAGTGTTCATTCCCACTTGAGATTGCCATAGTTTTAATCTCTGGACAGTGAAGAGAAGTAATTTACAGACTCACAGCCTGTTTACTAGTTAAGAAAAAGTTTGCAGAGATTTTGCCTAGGCTGACCTAAAGTAATCAATTTGCAGTTCTGACTTCATAATATGACCTGTGGTTTCTCTAATGCATGTGCCCTCTCCTGCAAGTGTGCTCCAGCTGGTTTATACTCACCATGACTGAATTCATGCTTTCTAATAAAATTTGCGAGGGAGTTTGCTGTGGTGTTACAATGTACTTGAAGTGATAAATGAAGTGATCCTGACAGAGTATAAGCTGCAAGATGATAGGTTGTGTGTCTATAAATGTTAGGTATCATTATATGCTCTCCTAGCCCATGGAGACCATTTCTGCTCTTTAGTGTCTAGTATAATTTGACTCTTAATTTTTCCTGCAGAAGGGACTAAGCTGGAAACAACTCCTGCCTCTAACACCTCTTGAAAGGATTTGATGCATGAGTTAATTTATTCCATATCATAATTAATCATTTTGTCTCTCACTGTAAAAATGTACAATGTCATTTACATTGCACGTGTTCATTTTACCATCAGTATAGTAAGCGACATTTCCTGTAATTAAATAGAGATATTACATTAAACAGTTAAGATGTGTGTTATAACAGAAGTGAGAAGTGAAACAGAACCAATTTTCTATCCACACTTGAATCTACACAACAAAGCAAAGAAATGCACGTAATTGACATTGCTGACAATGTGGGAGGTTTAGGTGGTCACCTTGAATCAGCTTGAAGAAACCTGCATGATTTTGGGAATAGGATTGTCAGTAAAATCATTGTCAGACCACACTGCTGTTTATACAGCTATACAGGCACATATGGCACAGGTTCATGATGCTGCTTCTGCTCTGTCATGGTCATTACAGACTTCATCAAGAGCACCATCCTTCTACATTCTCTTTAGAGTGATGGTAATCGAGATGAAAGATAGCCAAAAAGGGCAGGAACCCCTTTATGAAGATCCTTGATGTGAAAGTACGATAAAAATTTTCATCTGAAGAAAAGAATATTAAAATCAATAAAATGGATGAAAGAACAGAATCGTATTTGATGATAGGCTGAATTTGATGCTGAAAAATGCTGGAATGAAAGGATCTAATCATCAAGTAGGGTTAGTCCAGTTAATTAAAAAAAACCCAAACAAAACAACCAATGAACCATGAAAAAAAAAATTCCAATGGGTCCGCTATCTTGTTTTACCTTTTTTAATACACACTGAAGCAGTCTCTCAAGGGACAGTCCATTGTACTAGTAATATACCACACAGAGTTACCATTGAATGGCCAATCTATCCATCTTAAAGAATATTAGACACATACACAGAAGAACGGAAATGACCATGTTAGCTTAGATCTACAGAAGAAAAGACTCTGGCTCTATCCAAGCATTAATGCTGGGTTTGAGACTGGTTGTCACCAGATCACTGAGAAGAGGGCAGCAGACCCTTCCAGCAAACATGTGGCTATAACTTGTCTCTTCTGTCAGGTATCAGCTGATTGTGTCCAGCAGCACTTTTGTCATTGAGCCCTGGAGCACAAGATTTGATGGCCATTTCAATGAGTTTAATTGAATTGCTTGTATGACTCCAGGTGCCACTGTTAGCTATAGGATTATTCAGTCTCACTAGGAATCTTCATTGGCTTTACTTCCTCTGAGAATGAACTCTATTACTTAATAAAACACTGTAGAACAAAACGTATTTCCTTATAACAGTTTCTGACCTGAACTTTCTTTTTTCTTGTTATACTATTTATCAGAGAAAAGGGATATTCCCCTTCTTCCATTTCAATAGTACTTTTGATATGTTTGCTCAATTCCTCTCCTTTCTAAATCAAATAATTTCATCTTTTGAAACTCTCTTCCTTAAAGTCCTTTTTGTTCACTACCATTATCTTTCTCTGATCACATTAATATATGATGTGCAAATTCAAGACTTCATACTGCAAGGTCCTTAACACTGCTTGTCACTCACCAGATACTTAATTTAAAGCATACAAATATTCCCTCTGCTCTCAGTGTGATTTTTTGTGTAGTTTAATAAATGTTGAAGACATTACTGCTGGATGTTGCCAAATACATGTTTGTGCCTACAACCAAAAAACCACATGCAGTTTTATTAATCACCCTGGAAGGACAATCTATGTAGCTATTGATTTCAGCAACATATTCATATGCTTAAAAATAGGCCCACAGTTAAGCTTTTGCTTCTTCAGATTAATGCCAATCTGCATGTGTTTGCTCCCAGAAGACCACACACTTACTACTGTCTGAACACATTATGACAACAATCTGCATGGAAACAAAAAGAGATGCTGGGGAAAAAAAATGAAATGAAAAAATGTAAAGAGAAAACTGAATTATGAAACCAAATTATGGCTAAGCACAATGACAATAAATACTTTTAGCCACAGGCAATAAAATATTGCATCATTAATAAAGCTAAGTGGAGAAAAATTTTGCTTGTCACTTTCATTTATAACCTAAATTTTATACTTTAGCCTTACATGTTAGCTCAGCACATTACACATCTCTCAGGCAATTCCCCTCTGGCCCCAGAAATCATGAGTTACTGTGGTTTCAAAAAGTGGTGAACTGGGTAAATGGGAACTGATTTTAAAGGATGAAATAATGGCCTAATTCAAGACTGTAGCAGTTTTAAAGGAAAGACACTTGAGACAGGGAAAGGGGGAAGAACTGATGATATGGAGGTTAAAACTCCAGGTTCTCATGGATGTGAGACAAACCTGAGAGGAAATTTCAGAGCATTCTTAGCTCAGGTGTGACTTTAATCATTCATGGGTTAACACAGGCTGTCAGTAATAGATACAAATAGTGCTGCTCTTGCCTTTCCCAGTGATCCAAACACCAAGTCCATTCCATGTCCTTGCTGATAGAATCCATTCAAGAGACTGGCCAAATTCTAGTAAAAGCCTGAAGAATTAGGTTAAAAGAGCTCTTTATTCTACCCCTTGAAAAGGTTGAAAGGTTGAAAAGCCAGGAGGAAACAGTGGCAAGTTATCTGCTAGTTACGCAGTGTAAGGAGGTGGTGCATCAGTGGTGTTTGTGAAGAAGCATCTTTGCTGCATGTTTGCCTTTCTTCAGTACATATAAATGGGAATAACTCCATTTATCACAAGTTATGGCTGTCTAGGATCTCATCTTCCATATTTTTGGTATATCTAATTCAGGCATCAAGGCTGGGAAGATTTACTGGGGAGGAACCCAGATATGAAGTGAATTTTTGAGAGACAGGAAAGAAACAGCTGAACATAAACCTCCTGGCATTACCAGCTTCACGAGGAAGCAAAAATCTCACCTGCAATCTCAAGGGAAACAGATATCAGGGGATGTAAAAAAGGACTACTGGGCTAAATGTTAATTCCCTTGAAATCTCCCTTCTGCCACTATAGAAACTAATCATTCCTACCAGCTCCTGTCTTTTCAGCCATTTAAAGGATATGGTGTGTCAGCTAAAGCCAGGCATTACTTTTGGTTTTACTGTATGAGTGAGCAAGCAGTGCAATAGATATTTTATTATTTTACTGTGCTTGTTTTCTTGTCCTATGCTTTTATGTGAGGGCATCTTATGGACACCTTGTTGTAAACTGCAGAGTCGTTTATGGTTTATTCCTCTAATATGTTTCATACTGAAGTTGAAAACTCTGTTGTGGTAGACAAAATTCAATCTAAGAAAGTGAGTAGCCTAGAAATAAAAGAGAAAAGAAAAATATAGCAGGAAAAAAATCACATCAGCTCAACCTAAATGCGTGGGTAAAGATTTTGAGGATTTACTATCCCAAGAAGTAAATGGAAAAGTTGCTCATGTCCTTGGGCTCAGTGCTGGCACCCCATAATGTCCCTTCCATTTATCCAGTAGGAAAAGAACTTTCAAAAAACTCTTCTAAAGAAAAGACTGTACAAGAATCTTTGGAATTCACAAATCCATTGATTAAATTAGTGCTATTAACAGTATTTTTTTATGTGACTTTTTTCATACACATGTACATTAAATAGCAACTGTAATTGTTTCCAGATTCCTAGTGATTGCCAATGTCATTACTGCCATTGGATTCAACCATCTTCTTTTAAGCTCTGCTCAAAACACA